GGCCGGCGTGCTGGGCCGCCTCCACGTGCCCATTCGGGCCCCCAATGAGAACGCCGCTGGGTACTTCAACTGCCGGGGCTGGCACTCTGTGGTGCTGCAGGCTGCTGTCGACGCACGTGGCTGCTTCTGGGAGCTAAGTGTTGGCTGTCCCGGCAGGCAGAGTGATGCGCAGGTGCTGAGGGCCTCCGAGCTCTACCAGCGTGCCGGACCTAAGTGTTGGCTGTCCCGGCAGGCAGAGTGATGCGCAGGTGCTGAGGGCCTCCGAGCTCTACCAGCGTGCCCAGCGTGGGGAGTTGTTCCCTGGGGAGACCCGGGATGTGGGTGGCGTGCAGGTGCCTGTCTACCTTCTGGGCGGCCCATCCTACCCACTTCTGCCGTGGCTGATGAGACCTTATCGTGCCAGGGAACTGACGCCAGCCCAGAGGCGCTTCAATGAGTACGCTGCTGCTGCCCGCACCGTGGTGGGGGTGGCGTTTGGCCGCCTCCGGGGCCGCTGGCGCTGCCTGCAGAAGCGAAACGATACAGACGTCTCCTTCCTGCCTACCCTCATCGCTGCCTGCTCTACCCTCCACAATGTCTGCGAGATGCATGGTGATGTCTTCCAGCCCCGATGGATGGTGGATGAAGAGGAGGAGGAGGAGGAAGTGCTCTTTGAGGTTGGGGAGGGAGACGAGGGTGCAGCAGCAGAGATCCGTGAGGCACTGGCTCAGACCCTGCGGGACTGAGAGAAAGAACCCAGGAGTCCTGACACCCAACCCCCCTGCTGTAACCCACCAGAACTGGGGAGAGAACCCAGGAGTCCTGACTCTGGCCCCCCTGCTTCCCTCCCCCATTTCTCCAACCATCCTTTCCCCTCCCCAACTTGGAAGCACCTCTTCTGGGGGTGGGAGTAGGTGAAGTGAGGGGGCCAGCTGGATGTGTGGGAAGAGGCAGGGTGGCTTGGGAGGTGGATCAGAACTGGGCTGGTAGCAGGGAGCTTGAAATTAGAAACCAGGCTATGGGAAAGACGTTGAAGTGAGAGGGGTCAGAGAATGGGGGGGCTGGGAAGGGAGTGTGTGTGGGGGACGACCGGGAGAACCAGACACCTGGGTTCTTTGTAGATGCAATAAATTAAAACTTCATCCCACAGAAGCCTATGTGTAATTGTCCTCCAACACATGTGCCCTCTGCCCACCTCCTGGCCCACAGTTGCCCATTCAGCCAGCTCTGACTGGCTGGCCAACTTTCCAGGTGGACAGCAAGGAGAACTTGGAGACAGAGGCTGTACCTGTCTGGTCTCAGCTGGAGCACCGTGTCCAGTTCTGGGTGCTGGGTTTCAGGAAAGATGGGGACAAATTGGAGAATGTCCAGAGAAGAGCAATAAAAACAATGGAAGTTCTAGAAAACGTGACTTATGGGGGAAGTTGGAAAATATGGTCTGGAGAAGAGACGACTGAAAAGTTTTCAAGTGTGTAAAAGGTTGTTACAAGGAAGAGGGAGGAAAAAAATGTTCTCTTTAACATCTGAGAATAGAACAAGAAGCAATGGGCTTAAATTGCAGCAAGGGAGGTTTAGGTTGGACATTACAAAAAACTTCCTGTCAGGGTGGTTATGTGCTGGAATAAAATGCCTAGTGAGATTGCAGAATCTCCATCACTAAAGATATTTAAGAGCAGGTTAGAGAAACACCTGTCAGGGATGGGCTAGTTATTATTTAGTCATGCTGTAAGTACAGAGGACCGGATTAGACAACCCCTCAAGGTCCCTTTGGGTATGTCTACATTGCAGTCCTCTTTCAAGAGAGGAATGCAAATGCAGCTGAGCGAAATTGCAAATGAAACAGATTTGAATTTCCCCTGCTTCATCTGGATAATCACATCTGAGCGCTATTTCGAAATACCCTATTTTGAAAAAAAACCACTGTGTAGATGTGGTTATTTCGAAAGAAAACCCTTTCGAAATAACCCTTAAACCTCATTTTATAAGGAGTAAGGGTTATTTCAAAAGAAGGCTTTTCTTTTGAAATAACTGTGTCTACACAGTGATAGAAATGTAGCCGTGTTAGTCTGGTGTAGCTGAAACAAAATACAGGACTATGTAGCACTTTAAAGACTAACAAGACGTTTTATTAGATGATGAGCTTTCGTGGGCCAGACCCACTTCCTCAGATCAGCGTTTCTTTTATCGAAATAGGGTATTTCTAAATAGCACCCAGACACGATTATGCAAATGAAGCATGGGAAATTCAAATTCACGCTTCATTTGCAATTTCACTCAGCTGCATTTGCATTCCTCTCTCAAAAGAGGAATGCAGTGTAGACATACCCTTCCACTCCACCAATTCTCCTATGCGCACCTCTACGTCCTCCCCTCTATCCAGATATACCCACCTCTGTCCCGCCACCAATGACTCGCTGCATCCATCCACAGCCCTCAGTCCCTCTCTGTATACAGCCTGCTAAGCCTTCATGCCCCTTTCCCCTACACAGCCACCCCTTACACATCCTCTGTGAATCTGTCCTCATCCACATCCATCCATCGACCCACATCAACTTATCCATCAACTGTCCAGCCTTCTCTGAGGCTTTCCCCATCCCCACTGGGCTAGGAGGGTTCTGAGCTGCACCGGGTGAGGGGTCCCTATGTAAACTGGTTGCCCATAGATAGGTTCATCACTCATAAGGCCTTGGCACTACTGGATCTCACAGCCATTTCTTTTAGCCAGGAATGAGCTGGGGGTGGGTGATGAATGAACCCTAATTCAAAACCAGGCATTTAAGCTTGGTGATAGCTCTGTGGCTGTGCCTGGCCCCTGGAGCCAGACTTGCTCCCTCTGTTTCCATAGGGTGGAAGCTGCCATCCAGAGCTCTGCCAACCCCCATGCCCATAGGTTTGCCTAGGTACCTTCTTCCCCATGCCAACATCTCCCACCAGCAGGTATGTGCAAGACACACGGGGTAGTTTTTGGCCAACTGGATCCAGAAAGGGGTGTGGCGTGGGTGCCAGAGGACGTGGCTCAGCAGAAATGCCAAAAGGGGAATGGCTTTGCTCAATAAGGGATGTGGCTTATCAAAAGGGCTGAGGGCTGTCAGCTCAAAAGGGTCATGGCTTGACTGTCAAGGGAGGTGTGGCTTATCAGGTATCTTGCAAGAGGCATGGCTTTACCGTAACCATAACATTGGCATAATTTGCCCAGGGGGCATGGCATAACAAAGCAATATGGCCATGGGCAATGTTCCCTCTACATTTTTCTATCCATGTGCAGAGTAAATGTTGTTCTGTGCACCAAGGTATGCATATATGTGCACCACCAGTAGAAATACATGCTGCCAGCTGCGGGCACTCTGCTAATCAGCTGGGCAGCACCTGAATCTCTCCAGGGAACACTGGTCCTGGGGTGTGGCTTCTCTGCCGAAAGGCTGATTGAACAAAGGACTCTGGGAAGGGGGCCGGGCTTGCTCCTGGGATCTTAGAAATGGGTGTGATTTGTTGAGAGGAGGTGTGGTATAAAGGCCTACTAGGGGAGTGGGATCCCTGTGGGGTGGAACTAAAGAGAGACCTCATCCAGGGAGCAGGGCTGAGTCATGGGATTTAGAAGAGGGTGTATCTTGTGGGTCAAGGTGCGTGGTTTGATGACTGACCTTAGAAAGGGGCGTGACTTGATGGCAAAGGGTGTGGTCTGAGGTAGGGATATGAGTATCGTGGATAAACCAATAAGCAAAAGCTCAAAGGTTAATGCTGTAGACTACATGCATTTCCCCCGACCCTTTGACAGTAAATTTGTTAGCAGGCTGGCCTGCACCCTGGCTCAGTCCCAGCTTGTGCAGGGTCTGGGGCCTACCCCCACTTTGGTTCTGCATTTAAAGTGTATTAAGAGCCAGGTGAGCAGGCAGCCCTGCCCACCTCCAGCTCACGCCGGGTCCGGGCACTCAGACCCCTCCCCCTGGACAGGGGCTTATAGAATAGTTGACTAACCGATAAGCAGGGCTCGACAAATAATGTAATCTACTTGCCCGTGGTGAATAGATTACAACCTGGAAGAGCCGGCACAGAGCGATCTGCGCATGCGCAGAGCGCAGAACCGCACGGCTGGCAGGCAGGGCTCGCTGCTGCTTGGCAACCCCTGCCGATAAGAATTCATGAGGTTAATCGACTAGTCAATTAACCGATATTTAACATCCCTAGTCTGAGGCTGCTATCCCTTGTCCCTCGCCGGCCATGACTCAAGCAGCCTTGTGACACCCTGACTTCCCCTTAGGTGCTGTGCGGAGTTGTTCCTGCACACAGCTGAGTCAGCAGGGAGCCATAGCCACACCCAGGCCCTGCTAGAGGAAGCTGTGTCAAAGGCCTGCCCCGTGAGGGGACTGGGCACCCTCTGGGGCCAGGATGTAGCTTCATAAATTCAAGACAATTCCGGGATGAATCCTGGCCCTGCTCTCTGCAGACTAGGGCCCCAAGATACTGCCCTGGGGTATGGGGGTCAGCAGGGTGCTGTGCATAACTGTCCTGGGGCTGTATCTCTGCACCAGGCAAGGGGCCCCTGTGTAACCAGCTGCCCTGCCTCAGAGGTGGCTGCATCTCCTTAGTCCTGCTAGCTGTAATAGCCGTTTATTATTGCACAGGCTGGTTACTGGGAGAGAATATTTGGAGGGGGTAGGTAAACCCATTGCAATGCAGACAGGACCCATATTTACTAGCAAACCCCCTCATTTATTTAATCTATAAAATAAAATACATAGATCTGGGATCTTGCTCCCCACCCCATTCCTTGTCCCCCTGAGCCAGGCAGTCCCTGCCCTGGGGCCAAGTAGGACCTGGTGCCCCCTAGAGGGGACAGGCCCCAGACTCCCTCCTCCCACATCCTCCCTCAGTGTCTCGGCCCCTCAGATGGTCTGGTAGCCGCCCCGCGCTCTGCGCCGGCCCAGCAGGTAGGCAATGACCACGATGAGGATGAGGACCAGCAGAACCACCCCGATGACGATGGGAACCACTAGGCTGTGCTGATCTGGGCACAGCTCAGCTGCAAGAGAGGAGAGGCAGGGCTGAGAATGCGGGGGACAGAGCTGATATGGGGATGCAGGACTTGGGCAGGGGATTATGGGAGTCTGGGAAAGATGAGAGGCTTATGGGGGCGGGAGGTCCAAGGGTGAGGAGGGTTATGGGTGGAAGAGGGTGGATATGTGGCTATTCGGGGGGGAGAGAGCTGGGAGAAGTGGGATTTTGGGGTGGCTGGGATGGGGGAGCGTAGTGCATTCAGGGTGGGATGCCGGCCTGGGACTGGGGGGCTAGAGGATTGACCTGGTAGGGGGGTGGGGTAACTGAGTGGGGGAGCCCCAGGACCATGGGAAGTGGGGGGGAGAAGTGAGTATGGAGGACAGGCATAGGGATGAGGTAGCAGAGAGCAGACAGCTAAATGGGGCAGTAGGGAGCAGGCTCAGGCAGAGGTGGGGGGCAGGCCCAGGGCCAAGAGGGGGAGCGGTGGCAGGAAAAGTGGAGAGTGGGGGCTGAGGAAGATTTGAAGCAGGGGGCCGGGGAAGGACGCAAAGCCGACTTGAGGGGTGAGCTGGGGAGAGGGGTGGTGCCACAGACCCAGGGCAGAAGGGCCAGGAGTGGGGAGCTAAAAATAACTGTGGGGCAGGCATGGGGTGGGAGAGCTGGGAGGTTGCAGGAGCTGTGAGGGGTAGAAGGTCAGGCCTGGGGACAAGGGAGGGGAGCGGGCTGACAGAGAGCTGGGGAGAGGAAGCTGAATAGAACTATGGGGGGCAGATGGGACAACTGGAGACTGGGAGAGCTAGGAGGGGAAGGGGGCAGGCCTGGGGTCAAGAGGAGAAGCCATTGGGGCAAAGCAGGGTGGCTGGAGGAGAGCTGAGTTGGGGGCCTGGGAAAGGGAGCCACATGGGCTTGTGGGGGCCAGGCTGGGGAGGTGCAGGAGTAGGGAGAGTTGCGCGGGGCGGTACCTTCCCCGAAGTTGCCGCTGTGCAGTGCGAAGGCCTGGACTTGCTCCTGCAGGGCGTCGAGGTGGAAGGCAGGGCTCAGCGCCAGGCTGCGGTTCTTGCATTGGTACGAGTGGCCCAGCCCAGCCTCAAACTCCCGCAAGGTGCTGTTCTGTGCTGCAAAGTACCTCTCTGGGCACAGGAGGCAGAGATGAGAGTTCGATCCTGAGCCAGTATCTCCCCCCCATATTCCCATGAAGCCTACACGTGCCCTGAAACTCCTCCCAAAGTCACTGCAAACTATGAACTTGCCCCCAAAGTCAACACAAACTCCCCCAAATTCACCCTGGGCCCCCAAAATCACCCTGAAGGCCCACTGTCACCCTAAGTTATGCCCACTCCCTAAAGCCACACTGAACCCCACAAAGTCACCCTGGGCCCTCCATCATCCTAAACTCCCCCTAAAGATATACTGGCCCCTGAAAGTCACTACAACCCCCCAATCACCTTCACCCCCATCACCCTGAACTCTCCCCCAAATCTTCCCCAGTCCTCCAAGTCACTCCAAACTCCCACCCAAGACTGCAAAGGTCACCCACACCCCTGGCCCCCCCAATTTACCTCCAATCCCTGGAAATGTACCCTAATCATTCCCCCCCACCCGCATTAGCCTCCACCCTATTTCTCACCCATAGCCCCAGGGAACTGGAGGCTCAGGTTGGTTCGGACCTCATTCAGGTAGCAAGTTTTTTGGGTTTCATTCTGGGGAGACAAAAGAGATCAGAGCAGTTTGGATGCTCCTAAGTCTGCCCAGCATGGAGATGCAGCCACCTCTGGGGTGGAGCACAGCAGTTCATACAACCCCCCAGCCTGCTTCATACAACCCCCCCAGTGCCCACTTGTGCTGCCCTGGGGCCGGTCCTGCCTTCCAGGGGACAGCTCCTCCTACTGAACCCCCCCCCCCCGACACACACCAATTCCTGTCCCACAGCACTCCCTTGGGCCAGTTCTGCCAGTCAAGGGGAAGCACCCCTTTGCTGAACCCTCACTAGTACCTTTTTGAAGGTGAAGATTAGGAAGCCCTGGGCAAAGCTGAGCTGCATGGTGGCGGTGTCATTGGTGCATTTTCCTGACACTTTGGTCTGGTTTGGCTGGACAGCAAAGGTGCCCCAGAGCTGGAAAAGAGACAGAGAAGTGGGGTGACCTGGTATCACCATCCCTGAACTCCCAGAGCTGGAGAGAGAACCCAGGAATCCAGGCTTTGACCACTAGTCCCCCGCTTCCTCTTACCTTTGTTTTGGAGCTGTTTGTGTACTCGACTCGTATCTGGAGGCCTGACTGGATCCGCAGGCAGACTTCCTTCTCCTTCATCACCCGGTAGTCTCCTACCTTCACATCTGGGGACACAGTCGGGGCCACCGTGGTGAGGTGCGGGGTCGTGTGGGGTGTGGTGTGATTGGCGGGATGTGTTGTGGGGTGGGGCGTGGTGTGATTGGCGGGATGTGTTGTGGGGTGGGGCGTGGTATGATTGGCGGGATGTGTTGTGGGGTGGGGCGTGGTGTGATTGG